CAAGTCAGTTGAAGACTGGAGTCATGTCGCAGCCTGGGTAAATGGAGCGGCGAAATCAACAACATTTTGCAATCGACTGGAAACATGCAGATCACTGTTGTTGCAAGCCAGCGCATCCTTGCCTCAGTCTGGCCCACGTAGAGACTGATGATGTCTCACAGAACAGGCAGTCAACGAGCTTGGGGTTTTCAACGTTTCTTCACACATAGGATCATGGCCGGGCTTGGCCTGGCAGGCCTTTTTCCACGGCCCCTTGTCTCAAAAAGGGGCATCTCATGGCATATCTATGCGAACCACACAAGAACCTCAGATGCTTTGAGCAGTATGTGAAACGCTCATTTCACAGAAACAGTCGTTGCTTCCCGTCCAAGACCATAGACACTGCAGGGTCTTCAAGTAATTTTAAGGGACAGTAGGAGGGACCCCTAGAAGGGATCCTTAATCCAATATACCCTATATAACCCTTATATACCCATTATTTTGTCTCTTAAACCCTAAACCCTAAACCCTAAACCCTAAACCCTAAACGTCCCCTACATAACCCCAAGGGTCCCTTCAAGGGTCCCTCCTTTAGTCCCTTGAGTGATGGGTCGATCTGCTTGGTAAGAGCTCCGAGATCTTCCCCAAGACTCCTTTGTTTAAGGAATTCTGTTAGGGTTTAGGGTTTAGGGTTTAGGGTTTAGGGTTTAGGGTTTAGGGTTTGGGGTTTCGGGTTTAGGGAATGCACTTGAAATCATCTCCGAGATCCAGCTAAAATAACCCTAAGCCCTAAACCCGATAATTTAAGGTAGGCTCCTGAATTAAAGGCTCAGTGGAAGATCTGGGTTCAGGGTTTAGGGTTTAGGGTAAGGCTGCTTTCAAGGTACAGTAGGGGTCGAGGGTGAGAGTGAGCTGTTGAAAAATTCGGGCTTTTCGGGTTTGGGATTTAGGGCTTTAAAACGTAGGGACGTAGGGTTCAGGACTTCAGGATTTTAGGGTTAAGGGTATTGGCCTTCAGGATTTAGGGTTTAAGTGTACATCGCTGTTTGGTTCGTTTTGCATCACGTAGTTGTTTGGCTTTAGGGTTTCGGGCTTAGGGGGCTGAATCCCTTCTTCATGCACGCGACTTTATGATACTGGTGTTTCAGCTTTCATTCGCGGCATGATGGAGTTGAGGCCAAGGGACATTCGGTTTTAGTTTTAGAGTTTGATGTTTATGGAAACATTTTCCTAGTTCTTGGATGCCTGAAAGAGATTCCCTAAACCCTAAACCCTAAAAGCCCTAAACCCTAAACCTCAGACCCCACACCCTAATCCCTAAACCCTACAACCCTTTCAAGACTCGTGAAGATCCTCAAGCGGTTTAGTTTGATACAGTTTCCAATCAGCCTAAACCCAAAAGCCCTAAACCTGAAACCCTAAACACTAAACCTTAAGCCTTACCTGTAACTCTCCTTACCTACAGTTTAGCAGCCAGTACCCCTTAATTAGTAGGTAGAACGCTAAACCCTAAACCCTAAACCCTAAACCAGAACCCATAAAACTGTAGGCAGTTAGAGTCCCAGGTAAACCCTGCACTTCAAAACTGAGATAAGCCCTCAAGTTCTCCGCCACGAAAGCTCAAGTGCTTTTTTGAATATAGGCTTTAGGGTTTTGGGTTTTGGGTTTTGGGTTGAGCCTCGAAAGATCTGCTGTCAAGACCCACGAACCCTAGAACCCACACCCCAAAACACCACACCCTAAACACCTAGACCGTATACCCTCAACCCCTAAAGCCCCCATACCCCTATACCCTAAACCCCATAAGCTGCCCTAAACCCTGCGCTTGAAAGCCTCGAATCTTCATCCTTCAGGAGTTAACTCGACCTTACCCCCTCAGCCCTAGCAACAAGGGCCCTAAACCCAAAGCGCTATGAACCCTAAGCAGAGACCCCAACTGATCTTTCCAGACTGACCTCTGATATTCCTTGCAGTTATAGGGTTGACGGGCATCTGAACCGGTTCGCACTTATAAGCCTTAAGTAGTAAATTTAGGGTTTAGGGATTTAGGGTTCAGGTTTAGGGTTTTAGGGTTTGGGGTTTAGGGTTTAGGGTTTTGGTTTTAGGGTTTAGGGTTCAGCCTAGTTTGGCGGATGTAATCGTTAGATTCCTGATACAAAGTTTGCCTACGGACTCGCTAGGAAGTCAATGCAGAGGCGCCTTCATGATGTCTCTGAGCCTCTTGGTGGTGCTCTCCCTGCTCTTGACGTTAGTCGACAGGCCTGTGGCATTAAATGTTACCCTAAACCCTAAGCCCTAAGCCCTAAACCCTTAAAACTTCTGGTTTGGTCTCACTGTCATATGCTCAGTTCTCCAATACCAAACCTGTAAACTTTTGAGGTTCTTATAGTTTAATAGTACTCTGCAAGTTTTACCTTTAACGTCTGTGGCTAATTGGGGAAGTAAGTATGGGAGTTTCAGACCTTGGTTGGTTGGGGGACCCCTACTAATTCTTACAGGCCTTCGTCAGCATGAGACGCCCCAAACAGATCCGCAATTCTAAGCACCGTTGAGGGCATTTTGCGGAGGCTTTTGCATGCGAAACCAGAAACCCCAAACAACCCTAAATCCTTAAAACGCTAAACCCTAAAACCTTAAAGCCCTAAGCCCTAAAACTCACACGCCTCGGGGATCCCAAAGCCCTGTCAGCCCTAAACCCTAAACCCCTAAACCCTAAACCCCTAAACCCTTAAACCCCTAAACCCCTAAACCCTTAAACCCTAAACCCTAAACCCTAAACTAAACCGCATGTGCGGATAGTTGTGGCAAGTCCTGTGTGATTCGAACTTGAGTCCGAATCCTGCGGCCTGACGCAGATTTGTTTTAGGGTTTAGGGTTTGGGGGTTGTTTTCGGTTTTTAAGGTTTTTAGGATTTTCAGGTTTTTAAGGGCTTTTAGGGTTCTTGGGGTTTAGGGTTTAGGGTTTGTCGCCTCAGCCTTACGTCCTTGCCCGAACTAACTGATGGCTACATGCCATGCTTCAGATATCTTCAGACCACAGCAAGCAACCCTAAAGCACTAAACCCTAAACCCTAAAATGCTAAACCGTAAACTCTAAAACGCTAAACCCTAAACCCCAAAATCCTAAACCCTACTAGTCAAATCCCGTCCTGACATGGGGAGTTAAGGCCCTACATAACCCTTATATACCCCTTACATCGTCTCACAAAGTCCCTAAACCCTAAACCCAAGGGTCCCTGAAGGGTCCCTCCTTTAATTAGTCCCTTGCGAGAGGCACGAGGAGGGGAGGCTCAATATCCCTTAATAAAGGAATGAACCTTGAATCATATTAGGGATCCTATTATAATTTAAGGTATATTCCTTAATTAGGGATATTGGAGTCTCTGGGTTTGGACGAATGCTAAGAAGAGCCCTGAGTTTGGCTTTTAGGGCTTTAGGGTCTTAGGGTT